TAGGAAACAAACTGCTGTTTTCGCTACTCCCGTTTCCGTGCGTGATTTTGTGCGCAGAATGTGCATTTGGGTGGGTCACTCTCACATGACTCCCGCATTTGTTGGTGATCTAAGGACTCTGGCTAGGAGGCAACCAGAGTCCGCGCAGTTAAACCCACCTCCACGGACACAGCCATAAGTATCAAACGTCCACACACAAACAGGCTATATTATCAAGAACACAACGCCATCCAGCGCCCCGAATTTGCGCTAATGGGTGAGGGCGGAAAATGAAAAAGTTTCTAAATCTTCCTCCATTCATGCCAGAAACAACGCACTTAAATTTCAAACCAGTCCTAAAATAAGGGCTAGTTCAGCCTATGCAAACATGGCAAATGCTTACAGCTTTCAGCCGCAAAACTCGCGTTGAAAGAAGACTCGTCAGTTGGTCAACTTTACTCACTTCCCATTTTGTTAAAAATACCAACCATTTTTGGTAAACGAGAGGCAGCTTGCGTCCATCCTTGCCAAAAAGGCACAAAGCTGCTCGATGTTAGGCGGTAGCCACAGAAATTGCCGACTCTGCAATCGAAAGCCAAATGCAGTAACATCATGCAAAACTGTCCTCCGTGTAGAACAAAGTGCCCTAAGCGAATAAGCGTGTAAAAGGAGCCACGATGGACATGCTGGTGCTTTGGGCAATTTTGTAGTCCTTAAGGCGTTTGCACGCCTCAGGTAACTTACTTAAAAGTAACAGAGAGAACTCACTTGCTGCGACGTAGGTAAACTTTCCTCTAAGAATGATTATCTATGAGTTCTACACCCTTGCTAATGCCCTGCCATCGCTATCACCTGCCATTTTGACAAGCCTGACCCACCATAAGTACACTAGCAAAAGGCAATCAGGAGTAGGCAGAACCCAAACACGAAATCTTTACCAGGTTAATGAATATGCAATTAAATTGTGTCCGCTACTATGTGTTAGAGTTGACTTGTAGATAAAATTGACTTAGTACCAATCCTTTTCCGAGGAAATTGTGTTAACTGGGGCGTCTAGTCAGTGTCATGTAGCAGCTTGTACATAGTTATGCCACTTTATTTTAGGAAAATTTTTCTCGGTCACAGTTTAGGCCAGCAGCAACGCGTTCCACTAAAAAGTATGCCTCCAATTCACTTTGATGCTTTTTGAGTTTTACCTAATTTAATTCTCAAATGGGTGGTTGATTCGGATTTACCTAGCTTCTGAGGGGAAATCCTATTGCATATTCCAGGTGATTTAATGCTCTGCTAATTCCATCGGAAGTACACATTCCCAATCCCGCTCTGTGAACCCGCATAGAGGAAGTAGAGAAATCGTTGGAGAAGAAAGAGTCTTTATGAAACAGCTTCGCAGTGTCTCATAACTTGATTTCCACACTGATAACACGGAGGCAGAATGGGTAGTGCTCCTGCAATCGCAATCCATCTCTCTCCTACCATTACTGTCCCACATCCGCACACCGAATTCGAGGCAATTTGTGGGCTGAATATCCATGCTAGACTGTCCTAGAGGGTGGATATATTTCCTCGGTAGATGGTAAGGTTATGGTGATGTCAAGTGGAAGTACGTG